ATTGATAATACAAATAGCGAGCTTATAGTCAGCCCTGGTGTCAGGGCCGATACTCAGCCTATACTGGGGTACTGGTTGTTTACTACCAGGATGTGCTCTGATTGGTCAGTGCCCTTGACTTCTGTTGTTAAATATTTTTAGTCATCATGCTGTGCACAGATTATTTCATTAAATCCTTGCAAGCCTATTAGGTAATAACTTTTTATTCCCATCTTACAGATAGGGAAGCACAGATGGGTAAAGGAACTCATCCAAATGGGAGAGCTGGGCCTTGAACCTGAGCCTAGCTGCCCCTGAGCCTGTCCTCTCAGCCACCACCCTGTCCTCCGGAGCATCCTGACCAGCTGCAGCTTCTGCCTACTAAGGTGTGAAGACATACAGTTCAGACTGAAATAAGGGATTGAGGAGGGGGGCACGGGCAGCTGCTCTCTCAGGCCACAGCAGCCCCGGTTTCTACAGGGAACACTCCCGACTTGGAAGCCAGGCCAGGAACCAAAGCTCTTGGGAATTGGGCTGATTCTTTGCCACCCATGCAGGAGCAGATCCAGCCAGCTGTGCTGTATGGCTGCCAGGGCCATCCGGGTCGGTCAGCAAACATGTCTGGAGCTTCTGCTGTGTGCCAGGCATGACTCCAAAAGCAGGCAAGACTCAGGCCTTGCCTTCGGAGCATCAGGAACTTCTTGCCCTCCTGCTAAGAGGGGCCAGCTTCAGGCCTTGTCTTTTTTTTTTTTTTTTTTTTTGACAGAGAGAGCAGAAACTGGGGGAGCGGCAGGCAGAGGGAGAAGCAGACTCCCCGCTGAGCAAGGAGCCTGATGTGGAACTCGATCCCACGACCCTGAGGTCACAACCTGAGCTGAAGGCAGACGCTTAACCGATTGACCACCCAGGAGTCCCCGGGCTTTGTCTTTATTTATTTATTTTTTTAAAGATTTTATTTATTTATTTGAGAGAGAGAGAGAGCACATGAGAGGGGAGAGGGTCAGAGGGAGAAGCAGACTCCCCGCTGAGCAGGGAGCCCGGTGCGGGACTCGATCCCGGGACTCCAGGATCATGACCTGAGCCGAAGGCAGTCGCTTAACCAACTGAGCCACCCAGGCGCCCCAGGCTTTGTCTTTATTTGGTGCCCCCACCATGTCCTTGAAGTTCCCGCCCTCTAGGCTGATGACCACCGTGCTGATGGTCGGGGAGAAATCCAGACTCACAAGATGCTGGGGACAGCTTAGGGCCACAACCATCTCTTCCTGCACCTTGCGCTGGGCACTGCAGCTGGTCCAGGCCTCCAGGCCATAGGGTGTGGGCATGAGGACTGAGACTGACCAAAGGCACGGTGCCAGGGAGGGAGAGGGCTGCAGGCTGTAGCAAGACCCTCACGCCCACGATGCCTGGGCCTTGGACCCAAATCCAACCTGTCCCCTCTGCTGATGCTCTTGGCTCAGTACCAGGCAGTGAGAAGCTTATGGGGAAAGATCCTGAGGCCCAGCATGTCCAACAGAGAGGGTAGGAGGGGGAGTGGGGGCTAATGGAGCCCGGGTATCACCTCCATGGGGACGTGCACGGTCCCTCACAGATCCCTCAGCAAAAGGCCACCTAAAGCCCCCTAAGCTTGCAGCCCACCAGCCTCCCTTCCCAGAGCCCTTCTTGTCAGTAGTATTGCTGGTGTCGAGACGGACTTCTCCTTTTCTGCCTGTGTGCATTCCAGAACTGCAGCTTTCTGAAAGAGAGCTGGCAGCTGCTGGAGCTAAGACCCCAGAACCTAGCACCCTTTCCAAGTCATGTGTGACCTTATAGCCCCTTCAGGGACCATAGCCTCACCAAGTCCCCCTCCCCTTGTTTCCCTGGTAGAGGGGGTGACTGCAGAACACTTAGCTTCCTCCATGGGGAAGGGCGATGGTGGGGGAGGGTGTAGAGGAGGAAGGTCCTCTGCTCAGGGCAGAAGGCTAAGAAATGCTGCTCCTGGGTGTGCCTGGCCAACAGTCCCGGCCCCTGGCAGACACTGGGCATGATGCTCAGGCAAGGACACCAGAACGGGCACACCACATCACAGAAAAGTCCCATGATGCTGCTTGGAACAATGGTGGCTTCTGGGCGGAATCCCTCACTGTCAGGGGCTGCTGGGCAGTTAGCAGAGCCACGGAGAACAGGCACCCCCAGGAGGGAGGGAGGACATCAGGCTCTGGCCCCACCTCACAGCACAGCCCTCTATGTATAAACTCAAAAGCTGTCCCAGCTGCCTTGCTCATTCCCCACACATGCTGACAAAGGGGTCAGGGAGCCAAAAGGCCAGCCATCTGGCCCAAGAGGGCACTTTCAACCTTCTCCCTGGGGGTGGTGTAGGATTTGGGTTAGCAACCTGGGCAGGGGCTTGGCTCTTCCTTCCTTCCCCTAGCCTTGCCCTCAGGAAGGCAGCTGGAAGGTCAGCTGTTTGTGCTGAAGTTCCTGGCCAAAAGCCAGGCCCAGCTGGATGGACACCCCTGAGGAATGTCCACAGGGGCAGGTGGGACCACCATTGGGGTGAGGGAAGGAAGGGACTGTGGGGCCCAGACAAGGCACAGCCAGCTCAGCTGTGTTCTTCTAGCAGTGCCTGAGTCAGGACTGAGGGACATGGGCTGTGATCGCCTCAGTGAGAGGACTCTGAAGTGCTCCCAACACAAGGGATGAGGAGGTAGGGGTGGGGACCGGATGTGCAGGGTGGGAACTCAAAGCTCTTATGCCCAGTGGACCACAGCCCCACCAGGGAGAGAACAGCTGCAGATGGGTGTGGTGCACACTGTGCACCTCGCCTTTCCCCGTGGCAGGCTAGGTTGGCCGTAGGCCTGAGGCTCTGATGTCTGGCCCTCAGCTGTGGCTCCCAAACACAGGCCGGCCCCATCCTGCAGTCTCTGAAGGGCAAGCCTGAGTTTCCTGCCCACCCCCATGACAGACGGCTAGCTGGACTGTGTCTACCCTCTACTACCCTACCTGAAAGTGGTCCAGTGGGGCCTGCTTTCCGACTGTTGCACAGATCCCAGCCCCAATGCCCACCAGGCCACAGGCAATGCTTGCAAGGACCCAGGTAGGGGGAGCCCCAGGGAAGACCGCTGTTGGGAGACAGTTGAGGAATGACTGAGGAAATGAGTGGGAAAGACTAAACTTCCCGTACAGCCAGTAGGCTCAGAACTTGCTTCCCTACACTCGGAGACATCGCTCTGGCTGGCAGCAGAGGCCCCTAGGGGGCTGGGAGGCCTGGTAAGGGGCATGGGGTGGCCCTTGCTGGCCTCTCCCAGAACTGCTCTCCTTCCTTCAGGGGGTGTGATGGAGATTAACTTTTTGTGCATGCGCAGATCTCTGGAAGTAAGCCGGGTTTGAAGTGCTTGGCTCTCTAGTTTTACCACCTTAACTTTTGTAAATAGGATGTAACTTGTGTTGTCTAAATCATCTAGTCTACATACTGACCAGCTTAGGGGTGAAGCAGGGCTATTTTACGGACCCAGCAGCATGGGCCCACAGGTCCACAATTACAAAGTGTTAACTGCCTCGCAGGGGAGAGGGGGTGAAAGGGGAAACAGGACAAACAAGTGTGGAGGGAGAGCAATGGGGGTCACCCTCATGAAGATGGACCTAGCTTGTGACCAGCAATTTCACCAACAACTTGGCCCTTCAGCTACCTTAAGGGCACAGGCTAAGGGCAACCAATGGCTTGGTTCAGATCTCCTGGTAGCCGGGACAGTCAGGATGCTGGCACTTCCAGCCCTCAACAAAACTGGTCTGGCCGAAACCAAGTCCGCTGACAGTCAAGAAATGCACTATTAATACACGGGTTCAACAGGCATCACCTGGCACTGTCCTAAGCAAATTGTGACACGTATCACCTTCCAGAATAGGGGGTCTGCCTGTCATTATTGAATGCACTCCCCCCACCCCCAGCGGGAGTCAGAAGGCAACTTTCCAGGCATTTCCCCAGAGGAAATTTTATTTGTGAAATAGATGTTATCAATTCAAATGAAGACCATTAACAAGATGGAATAGTCTCAACTTCAAAAACTTTATTTTTGTCTCAACCATTAAGGGCACAGGATACCTTCATCAGCTCCAGCTTTTTTCTCCTTACAGAGTTCTGTCCCATCATCTAAACCCAGGGTTATCCTGTGTGGGCAGCTTCCTAGAACCAAAAGATATTTTTGCCTTCTGGGTTAAGTATGCTCATGTCTGGAAGCACAAGCTGCACTATTTAAAGCAGCAGATTCCCAGCTGCCCAGTAAAACCCATAAACCTCTACATCAGGATGTAGAGAAGATGTGCTGGGGTAGACGTTTCACCCCACTTGGGTTATCACAACTAGTAAACTTAACAAACTGACATCACCACAGTGAAAGTCTACTTGTACTCCAACACTGCAAGGTACTCCACAGCACATTCCACCGTCCAGGATCACACCAATGTCCTTCAGAAGCACAATGCTGAGATCATCAGAACTGGGAAGTCACTGTTCCAGAGCTAGTTATGATGAACCTTCTAGAAAACCAGTTCGTTATATATCGGACTCCACCTTTGATCCCTCAATGAAGACTCCACTAAGTTGCCAAGAATCAAACCTATCCTAGAGCTTGCCTAAGTCCCTTGAATTTGAAACCCATTTTTTAAAAAAAACAGAAGCTACATTATTAGGGCACAACCATCTTTCTATAGCTACCAGCTTCAAATACACAGAATGCTTGTCTGATGACCAGTGGCTCTTGTGCCCATGTCTTGCTGACATCTAGATACTATGCATATAGTGGACCATCACTGGTCAAGAAAACTAGCTTTATACTGAAAAAAAGCAGCTTAGACAAAGAGTTCTATACTTGTGGACTTGTGTTAAAATAACTTGTACAAAGAAATTTGTAATTACTTTTGTGTATAAATGGTTCCTTCGTCTACGGAGCAAAACCAGGTATAAACTAAGTTCAAACTTCAGGATACAAAGAAACTAGATAATGGATGTATTTAAACTTTGTATATTCAATGTAGGTTTTTGACACTTAGTTGAATAAACAAGTTTATTTGTAAACTTAGTCAACATACATAATTGACCTAAAGATTTCAATAGAAGGGTAATTTTTAAAACCACTTGGAAGGCCATCTCTATAAAGTGATTTTTCCCAGGACCATGTATCAGATGTAACCTAACTGGACACCATCTCAACTGGCAGAGGTTCAAGAAGCTGGAGTTGTGTGCCCCTCCCCCACAGCAAGTTTACTCTAAGGGTTATTATAATACAAACTCCACAAGGAAAAGAACTTCGGTATTGTTTCCTCTTGGTAGAGAAAAACTTAACCTAGTTATGAGAACAACCACTACACAAAGAAAAGCTGCACTAACTAGTTTAAATATTAACAGATGATGCTGGTGTGAATAACTTGTATTATAGTCTAGAGCCCTTATAAATAAAATCCCCCCATTAGTGTTTGCATTAATCAGCTAGAGGATTAGTTAACATGTGGTAGAATGAGGACTTATGCAAGGTATACTTTGCAAAGCATTTTACTATTATGAAAACAAGTGCAGTCTAGTTAGGAGAAAACCAACTGGACTTTAAATTACACACACCTTAATGACAAGACTCCCCACCACATGTGAATGTAAAACATTTAATTTAAAAATGTTGACACTACAATATATAAAATAGCTATTATAAATGCACATAGTGTATTCTATAGCTGCCAGGTTTACTTTTTTTTTTTTTTTTTTTAAGGAAACTGTAAGTTACACTGTGGTTAAGACTTGTATCTTCACCCTTGAAAAAGCCCACATTCTATCACAGTGATGTATGGTCAGACTTAACAGCCCCAATTGTTAAACACTTGGATCAAGTCATAACCAGTTTTATTGCAAAAGGACCCTGTACACATTTATCAATTCTAGTACCTTAATAGCTACCCAACAAGTCATTAACATACAGAAACATGCATCATGAGAAGCAAGAAATTATCACCCATCCCTTCTGCATATTAGCAACTTGTCACTCCTGAGCCACAGTGCTCACATCACTGAGGTCTGTGAACAGTCACTTTTCGCATTCATCCTGAGTGAAAGATGGAATGACTTAAGTACAAATGCAACATATTATAAACAATTTCTTACAAAAAAAGTCACAAATTAAACCAAAGTATTTTACAGAATTTACTACAAAACACCGTAAAAACTGCCTTCACTTAAGCTCTCTCTCCCCGTATCCGGCGAGCCAACTGGATGTCTTTGGGCATGATGGTGACTCTCTTAGCGTGGATGGCACACAGATTAGTATCTTCAAATAAACCCACCAGGTACGCTTCACTGGCCTCCTGTTGAGGACAAGAGCCACACTATTAAACTCTAGTCGACGAGGAGAAGCCACGCACAAGCCCTCCGACCCTACTACAGCCGTGCTCGCCTTACCTGAAGCGCACCAATGGCGGCGCTCTGAAACCTCAGATCGGTTTTGAAATCCTGGGCGATCTCCCTCACCAACCTCTGGAAAGGCAGCTTCCGGATCAGAAGCTCGGTGGATTTCTGGTAACGACGGATCTCCCGAAGCGCTACGGTCCCGGGCCTGCAGCGAGCAGGGGAGCGTAAGCGGACACCCGGGGACGGCCAGGGCCCGGCGCCAGCCCCAGGACGCGCTCCCACACGGGCCACGGGCCGCCCCGTCATTGTTTTCCTGCCGCCTCGCCTACCTGTAGCGATGAGGTTTTTTCACCCCACCGGTAGAAGGGGCGCTTTTCCGGGCGGCTTTAGTGGCCAGCTGTTTGCGGGGCGCTTTCCCACCCGTGGATTTACGGGCAGTCTGCTTGGTTCGAGCCATTTTCTTTTACCTAAGGAAGACATCCGTGACTCCGGGGCCGCGGCGCTCGCCCCCCGGAGGGGGGACGGGCTCGGTGCCCCTGCCCTCCCGCCTCTTCGCGGCGGCAGATGGCCCGGGGCCGCCGCCTCCTCCCCCTCCCCTAATGACTCAGGCTGCGAGGAGCGGCAGCAGCCTCCCCCGGGAGGGGGGGCGCGGGGAGGAGTCACTTCCCCTCCTCGACGGGCGGAGGCCCCGCTTGCCCGGAACCCGGCGTCGGGACCTCTGAATCACCACTGGGAAGGAGGCGGAGACGCGGTTCCCGAACGAAGCCCCAAGGGAAAACCTCCCGGCCCCACACCCAACGCCAGTGGCCCGAGCAGCCCGCACCAGCCAGCACTCCGCTTCCAAAGGCTGCGGCCCGCGGCAACAACGGCCGACGGGGTCTCGAACCACGAGCGAACCCGCCAGCACTTACCCAATGCCGAAGTCTTAAACCGCTTCTCCGACCGCCGCGCCGCTCCTGCTGCCCAATGAAGAGCCGCAGTCGCCGAGCAAAGAAAAGAAACCCGACCAACGAACGACCAAACCGCTCTGTGCTCCAAACCCCCCCTTTGCCTCCGCTTTTATACCCACGCTTCACGCTGCGTCTCTGCGTCATAGAGGCCTAATTTGCATACACCAACGACTTTTTCTATTGGCGGGAGCTTTCGCCGACGCGCTGACATCCCCGACACAAAGGCCGTGCTTCGGCCTCGCTCCCGGATTGGTGGGCATCTAGGCCGCTGATTGGCTGTTAAAGTGGCCTGATGATTGGATGAATGCAAAGAGGAATGGACGAATCAGAGATTAGCACGAAGCAGCTCTTCTGATTGGATAAAATGAAGCTATGTTTGGATCCTTCCCTTGGTTCCAAAGCTCTACAATAGAAAGTCAATGCAAATGAATTGCATTGGTCTCTATCAGGACTTAAGGGTCAGGGTGGGTAGGAACCTGACCAAATTCGCAATTCGCTAATAAAATGCAGGAGGAGAGGTTACTTAAAGAAAATTCTTGTCAATATTTTCCAATATAAAATTAAATGTGTTCCCTTGACTATTTACTTTCACATTTTGACGGTTATGTAGATAGTATAAAAGAGAATTAGAATTCAGCAAATCATATTATACTACCAAGTATTTTATATATCACGCATATATATTTTAACCAAAAAGTAGTTCTTTTGTTTGGTGGTATAGGTGGGGGTAAATGGTAGACACAAAAAAATATGTCAATATATGATTTTATAAGTACTGTTTTGTATGTTCTTAGGCTATCACAAAATACTTTGTGATTTCAATAGCTTAAAGAAGTAACCTACTGAGCAACATATTTTTGAATTATGTAATTCTACTGAATGAAATGATTACAGCCAAAATGGAAATAGTCCTAGGACAGCATTTGCATGTCCATAAAGAATAAATGAAAGAAAATTAAATATGTGCCCTTGTATTTAGTGGTATGTTCTCGTAGGTACTACTTCTAAGAAACATGACAAATGTATAAAAACGGTAATCCCTACCTTTGCCTAAATAAATGTCTTTGATGGATTGTAATTTTCAGTTCTCCTGCTGATACAGGTATATAAAATACCAAAGTAGGGTAAAGTTTAAGGCCAGCCAAACAAAACTCAGAAAATTGAAATAGCGCTTTGTGCATTTTATTCCATAGTTCCTACTCTGGGTTTAGTGAATTTTTTTCCACTGAATATTTTAAATTATCAAAATAAAAAAATAACAAAACCATGTACATGTAATTTCAACTCAAATGTTTATCGTACATAAATACAAATACCTCAAAAATTTACTTTTGACATCGAAGGTCTGCTCTCAGGATCAATAGTAAGGGGGAAAATGAGCAATATGAAAAAGCTGCTACGGTAAAAATGTCTTTGACCCAATCTCTGATATCAAATTCCTCTAATTTCAGACCTCTCAATCTTAACAGGCACAATTTGTATTTAATTATCACATACCTAGACTTTTATGTGATAATTTGGTCAAATTTAATTTCTGCCTTCTGCCCAAAGTTTACAGCAGGGGCGAAATTTTTTCTTTTTCATTCATGTGATGCTGAGAAACCAAGATGAAGGCTCTTGCCCTGTCCTCAGAACCTGAGTAAAGCTAAGAATCAGGGCACTGGTTAGATCCCACACCAAAGGCTCTCAAATGTTCTGGGACGTAACCAGAAAAATACCCTGTTAACATTTTTGACTGCCCAGATGGCCTGGGGAAGAAATGGGTTCCTAAGTTAATAATGCCTTTGTGTTCCAAGGATGTTCTAAAAGATCCAGAATCCTGTCTGTCTCAAGCCTCCAGAGGACAGACACTCCAGTTTTGTTTTTCTTTTTGCAGTTTGACTAATTACTAGAGGAGAACTAATTGCTCCAGCAGAAACTAGGTATAGATTTACACTTATCTACTTAAAGGACGATTAAGTCCTTCTTACTCTGCAGTCATGCAGGTTTTTCTTTTTCCTAAGTTGGCACAGGAGAGGAAAAGCAACACAGGAAATGGGAAAAAACTAAAAATGTTTATACAGTCAAAACAATGTAGAATGTGATGCGGCATGTAGGCTACTGTCCTAGTTCCTGTTCTGCCATGGGCTTGCTGAGTAACTGTGCAAGTTACTTCTCTGAGTTTCGGTTTCCTCTTTTGTAAGTGAAACAGTTTGGATGATATCATCTCCCAGTTTTACCAGTACACACTCATCCTGAAGCTTATGGTATACACTTACTTAAAGCCTAGTGCTGTGGACTATATTTCTTCATTCAAATCACACTCAGGTATTTTGGGGATAACATATAAACCAATAACTTGGATTTACTAACAGGGTTAAACCAATACACTACAACTTTTATTTGTCCTTTTGGAATTTTTCATCTTCGCACGCCCCTAGTGGTTAAACAATTGATTTGGCCTGTTTAGGAAATACCAGTTTCTCAACTTTGTAGGCAGACAATTTGGCTTCTGATGTGAGGTTACTCAGAACTAAATAAAATAAGTGTCATTCTTAAACATTAACAATTTTCCATTCACTCCACCCTCCCTCACCCCTAAGGTTATTGGGAACGTTTTTCCTTAACGTGACAATCATTAGTTAACCTATCTAATCAAATATAAATGTCTTAAAAACAAGGGATTTAAATATTCATTATGGAAAACAAAGCTAAATGACAACTGTCAATAGATCTATAAAGAACTTTGTGAAGGGGGAATTGGCTTATTTGACAAAAGCCACAGAGTGAAGAACTTCGCCCTACCAGTGGGAAGTGGGGTCGGAAAACACAGAAAAGCTGAGGTCTGGAGAAGGAAACTGCAGGGGATTTTATTTTTTATTTTTTTTTAAAGATTTTATTTATTTATTTGAGAGAGAGAGAGAATGAGAGATAGAGAGCACGAGAGGGAAGAGGGTCAGAGGGAGAAGCAGACTCCCTGCCGAGCAGGGAGCCCGATGCGGGACTCGATCCCGGGACTCCAGGATCACGACCTGAGCCGAAGGCAGTCGCTTAACCAACTGAGCCACCCAGGCGCCCTGCAGGGGATTTTAAATTGCACCCCCTACTCAACCCGAGACTCTTGCTTCTGGACAGTGTGCGACGCTTCTCAACACCCCTGCAACTCGTCGGTGTACCTGAGACTATTCTAGACGGAGATTAAATTCGTCCTTGGCCCCTAATGTACTGGAAACAAGTTGGTGAGGCCAGGTGTCGAGTTGGGAAGGGACCCAAGTCGTGGAGTTCCAGGTTTCAGGGTTGGTAAAGGTTTACGGAGCGCCTCCGCAAAAACGCGGGAACAGAGTATTGGTCGTGTAGCTCAACTTTAGCAGAGATTTTTTTTTTTTTAAGATTTTATTTATTTACTTGACAGAGACAGCGAGAGCAGGAACACAAGCAGGGGGAGAGGGAGAGCCGACTTCCCGCCGAGGAGGGAGCCCGACGTGGGACTCGATCCCAGGACCCTGGGATCATGACCTGAGCCCAAGGCAGACGCTTAACGACTGAGCCACCCAGGTGCCCTGCTTAGCAAAGATTTCTTAAGCTGACTTCTAGTAGGCAGACTTTCCTTCATGCCTCCCCAGTTAGCCTGGCCGCAGGAATCAAGAGGATGTTGGCCGACCGCAGGTGCCTGCAGCACAAGGGCCCAGAGCTAAGAACGGACAATACAGATTCTGAAGCACTACTGGGGCCGGCATCAACACTGAACCCAAAACCTACTAAGTCTGATGGCGAGATAATTACTACACTGTTGGTGGCGAAATTACACTTGGACTATTTCACATAAGTCGTTAGGGCCTCTCTAGCTCTGGGCCCTCTCTACTCCAGACGCTCCAGTTTCAAGGAAACCTCCCCTACGAAACTGGAAACGGACTGGTAAGAAGGAGGAACGCGGCGGGACTACAATCCCCACAAGCCGTGGCGGGCCCTCAGCATCCGGGACATCCTCCGCAAGGATCCCTGGGTATTGTGGTCCATTCCTTTGGCAGCAACCCTCTGCCGAAGGTAAAATTCCAGCCGAACCGAGGACCACAACTCCCAGCAACCCTTGCTGCCGTGCGGGGGGTCTTCACGTTCTCGTGGCGCGGCGCAGGCGCACTGGGTCCTCGGCGCGGACCGCGCAGACTGAATAATAAAAGGGGAGCGGCGAAGAGGCAGGAAGACAGGACCATGTCGAAGGGCCCCGGGCCCGGCGGCTCCGCAGCTTCCTCGGCGCCCCCGGCCGCTACCGCTCAGGTGCTGCAGGCACAGCCCGAGAAACCGCAGCACTACACGTACGTAGAGCCCCCCCCGCCGCGCGCGCACGCCTGACGTCAGCGGCCAGCGTGAGTCACGCGCGCAGGGAGAGCGCGAGGCGGCCTCTCCCTCCCCCCCTTCCTCCTCCGGCCCGGCCCAGACCGGTTCCAACCTGCTGGGGCCGGTCCCAACTGCCTCCATCTGCCACCAACCCCTGGTCGGGCTGTGGGGCGGGAAGGCCGGGCCCCGCCGCCGAGTGGGGAAGGCGGGAGTGCGGCGTGCGGAGAGCGCCCATCTCAGGCCAGGCCTGTGAGGCCTAACTGTTTTTCAGACCGTAAAACCACAGTACCAGGCACTTGCGGGGCGATAAGCCCAGCACAGAACCAGGTTGGGTGCCTCGGGGGCCAGCCCTAGAACCGCTGCGAATGACGGTTGGCGCAAGGTTCTGTCAGGCGCCGCGCGTTCCTTCCCCGGGAGGCCTTTTGTGTCCCTGAAGCCCGTATGTTGTCTGTGGAGGCCTCTCTTGCTTGGAACTCGCTGGGACAGCTGAGCCGGCTTGAGTCGGGGACCCCGAGGGCGATGGGGTCCGAGTGTGTCTTCAGCCCCAAGCGGAGTACACTAGCAGAGGGACCCCCGACGCTCACACCGCGGGAGTCCAGTAGCTGGAAGACCCCCTCCCTGGGAATCTGCGTGTGTCTGAGTGTAGGTTCTTGCCTCCTCCTTGTGTCCTTTCAAGCACGTTAAAGGACCACCTAGTGCTAGGTGCCTCGGGAGAAAGCTGCAGAGGCGGGCCCTCCTGTTAAGCAAAATGTTGAATTCCGTTTTCACACTCCCCCCCCCCCAATGCTCTTTGAGCGCCTCCCATCCGTTTGGGGCTCCCAGGTGCTGTGCGTGTTTAGAAGGACCCTCCAGGTGGACCTGAGGCTTGCAACCCTTAAGAGCCACCCAGTAAGGCCGCCTGGTGAGCCGAGAGCAGGAAACCTCTATTGGAGTAGAAGGAACTAAAACTAGACAGGAGGAGCTCCTGTTTGTCACTCACCGAAGTAAGCCCCATTGGGAAACTGTTCTGGGATTGGGGGACATGGGTTTTAGGAAGCTTATTGGTTTCTTTGTGAGATTCCCTGCTATTGGTTGAAATAAGTTGAAGCTTTTTCTTGGCTACAGTCTGACTCGTGTTAACTATTACTTTTCTGTTGTGGCCATTGCTTTGCGGGTCCTTTCTCACTGGAGTTCTTTCTGCCATCCTTCCATCGGTTTTGGTGAAAGATCTTACCTTAGAGAATACTGGTCAGTTGAATGGTGTGGTCAAGCAGCAGTATGGTTTTGATTTGAAAATCTGCATACTTCCCATAATTGGAACTTCGTTATAATCTGGTTGCTCGGTTATTTTTCAGTAGAATACGTACAATACTTTGGGTAATGTTTCAGCAACATCTGTATGTTGTGTTGTCATTGAGTAGACTATGGAATCTGTATTAGAAGGGTTTTCTTACCATTTTGAATTGACAGATGAAACAAGTCAACATCTGTGTAAATGTTAACATCTGAGTTTTGTCCTGTTGATGCTTATTTGTTTAAAATCTGTCTTCCTTTGCTTGTGGGTTAAGTGCAGAATAATCAGTTCTTGGCTCTTGAGTTGGCTTAGTTATCAACAGAAGTAGATGAACGCCCAAGCTTGATAGGGTGATTGGAGGTTGTAGGTGTTCCCATCTTTTTACATCCTGTTAACTGTTCATTTGTGTATAGGTTTATGTTTTTATCTCCAGAAATAAGAGGTAGACATCCATTTTCTTCCTTGGTAGATTTATGGGCATTCAGAAGCTGTGATGATTTGGGGAAAACTTCATTCCCTTGTCATCCCAGGTCTTAGGAGCGCAGGGAGTTTGAGGATACAGATGACAGCACTTTTACGCTTACTGGCACTGATTTTTTTTTTTTTTTTTTAAGGTGAACCCATTTGTTACCCTTGAAGGTTAGACCACAGGAATATTTTTATTTTGATTTTAATATTTACTTTAAAATTTTGAGCTGGCCAGCATTTTTTTAATTCTCACTTGCAGCATTAATTTCCAGAATTTGTACCAGTCTGAATATAGCCTTATATATTGCATAGATCCCTTTGTGGAATACAAATATAGACTTTTTTTTTTTTGGTATGTATTTTTTTACTGGTTAAATTTTTTTTTTTTTACATTTTTAAAACTTGTACATAAATTACAATAACTTTGTGTGTTTTTTGTGCCTGATATTATTTGAGATTATGTGATATGCAATAATCTTTGCAATAATCCAGAAGAAATGCGTTAAAATTGAGTGCCCCTCGGGACACCTGGCTGGCTCAGCAAAGCACGTGACTCTTGATCTTGAGGTTGTAAGTTTGAGCCCCACACGGGGTGTAGAGATTACTTAAACTTTAAAAAAATTTTAAAAATTGAATGCCACTCATCATAATGGCAGACAGTCTTGGCAAACTTGGTTGAATCCACCAAAAACAAATATTGCCTTTCCATAGGCTTGCCTTCTTGCCCCACAAATAAAGTGCTAGAATTTGAGCTCTCTTCTTTCTAAACCAAGAGGATTATTTATAACATAGTTTGAATGATAATTTTGTTGGTATTTTTTTCCCTAAACTCATGAATAATCTTGCCTTAAGAAAAACTTTGAAATAATCCTTTTAGCAAATTGGCATAGTAGGCACTTGTGCTAGACCTGAGGAATCCGACCCTTTAGAAAATGGCTATATTAGAATTTCTTCTTATTCAGCTCCAAGTATTTGATTAGCATGCAGTAAAATGGTAATGTGCATGTATTAGTCCTCTTCCACTACAAGAACCACCTAACATCTTGCTAGGTAATTTGTCCTTTTATTTGACAAAGACTGAATTTAATCCACCTGTTTTCTAGAACAAGTCCATCTTGTATTAGAAGAGTTTTATAAAAACAGACTTAAGAATGGGAAATTTTGGAGCAATTACATGTCCAAATGTGTCTACAAATTTAGCTAACTTCAGGTTTCTTACTGTATAACAATTATATTATTAAAAGTATATAGTTGAGAGGTCACCAAAAAAAACCTACCTTCCAAAATATCCAGGTTTCTGCCTTATTATTTAGACCCTATAAGAGGAGGTAAGCCTTAAAGACAGTAGATGATTTTTGGATTCCTTCACTTGCAGTTGATTCTCAGGCCTCTTAATGCCATTGGGGTAAAGGAAAATGAAATTCTAGTTTAGTGAAGGTTTTTTGGAGTTTCACTGGCCACTGGGTGATTTCTTATAGGTAGAGAATAAATGCTTTATAGCCTCGTCTAGCGAAGTGTTATTTTTTTTTTTAACTTAGGACTGTTCCCTGGGCATCTTTAAACAGGGACAGTGTAGCACTGCTTCCATAGATAACTATTTTGAGGCAAATTTGTTAATTTATACATCGTATAAATGTCATGAACTTCACTTGATTGCATCTGTGTTTTGGAAAATCCAGGAAATGAAAATGTATTTAAATCATTATTGCAAATTGCAGTAAAATTGTAAATACATTACAAGAGTACAACTTGTTGCACAACAGAAGTCACTGGAAGTGTTGCTAGGCAATGTCAGCAAGCATGAGTTAAATTACCAATAAATATTTCTGGATCTTGTTTACTTGTTTATCAAGTAGAACTAATTTCTTACAGGACAAAAATTAAGAGCTCATTGTGGTCTTCACTCAAGCCCACAAAATCCCCATTAATAATTAAGTGCCCATGCTAAGGGTAGAGTCAAGTGTAGCACCTAGTTGATATTTGCTATGAAAGTAATGATTAAAATGAAGATTTGCTTAATGGTTAAGTTTTTTTGTTTTAATCCAGCTATGTTAGATACTAAAGAAGGCTTCCCCACAATCCATTTGCATCTGCTTTGACTGGTGGTTTCTATCAACCTACAAAGACTGACTTATTGGTGAGGGCAGCTGGACAACTCTGAGAGCAACTTAGAGAAATCCATCTTGGGCACACTCTATAAAGGAGCTCCTTCTCTGGAAATAGCACCCCAGATAAGTGCACAAAAGCAAGACACCCTCGTGGACCTACTTCCTCCCGCTTTCAACACCCTGATGCCTGAAGGTGAGGTCTCCTTCCTGTGTGTCTTAGAAGCCATGAGCTCACTTAGGTAATGAGAGCCCTACAGCAGCCTGAGCACCACACATCTGCAGGCTTTCCTGCCAGACCTTTGCTTAAAGGTTATTTTTCTCATTAGGAGAGGCTCTAGGTCACAAGAATGATAAAAGTAAGGTTGCATTTAAAGCTACGTTACTTTAAATACTGGACTGGTGTAGGGATTATTTTCCCAAACGGGGCAGTATTTACTTAATGATTAAGTTTTTCGTTTTGTTGTTGTTGTTTTTTTTTAATCCAGCTATGCTTGATACTAAAGGAGGTTTTCCCACATTTGCATCTTCTATGTTTTGAAATTGCAACTATGGACAGTTATGGCTAATCCTAGTAGATTGTCTTCCCTTCTTTTAACATCTTGGATGAATTTGGGGCACACTAATGTGTTAAGTGAAGATGGATGTTGAATGTAAGTTTCTCTGCCATTCTTAGCCAATATATAAAAATTACATTAGTGTAATTGCTAAAAATGCCAAGAATTTGGGTTCAGTATCCTTCTGGACAATGTAGCTTTCTTATTTTCTTACCATATAGATACTGTGTAGATTCACACCAGCCAGCCATCTTAAAATACTGCATGGGCCACAGAGATATCTACGGAGAAAGTATGGGTAAAATCAGTGCATATGATAATAGGTATGGGGTTTATTTTTGGGGTGATGGAAATGTTCTGGAATTAGATAGTGGCAGTAATTCTACAACATGGTGAATATACTAAGAACCACTGAGACGTACACCTTAAAATGGTGAAATTTTTATGTTGTATAATTTACATCTCAATTACTTTTTTAAAAAGGATTTAAAAAAAAATCAGTGCATTAAGAGTCTGTCAGGCTCATATGGTCTATCAGGGCTTGGCAGCATCATTTGGTATGGAAAAGCCTACAGTTTGTGAAAAGCTCCTTGGTGCCCCTTTTCCAGCCTTCTCAATGGCTTAGTCCCTGTATATCCATTCTAGGTGAATGCTCTCATGTTCTAGGTCTGTGGAGATGCTTTTGAGATAAGAAGTGAATACTCAGCAAGTTTGAGACTCCTACTCGTTGGTAGTTGTACTTCAAATTGTCTCTGAATTGACAGCCATTATAAGGAACAAGCACATTTCCCCAGTGCCTTTGTAAAAATGAATTGAGCTTCCTAGGGTGGGTGGGAGATAGAAAGTTGCTGTTCTTGCTGAAATGTAATGAATTCCATTCTCAGGTATTTTATGGTTTTAATGTTCACTTGACATTTCTTTAAGGACAGGCCACATGTTTTAGGCATTTTAAATTATAACAATGGCTATATTTTAGTTCTAATAATCACAAATTTTTTTTATTATTTCTCTATACAATCCCTCAACTTTCACCCCTTTTTTCTTTGCCAGTTTGTAGAATTTGACAGCAGTATCAAGAGCTGATGAGGAAGAGAAGATGGAAAGGAGTCTAGCGACTTAAAAATCTCATAGCGTTCTCTGTGAGGTGACCTTTTTCCTGTTGGGGGCTCAACTTATTTAGGAGATAAAGAAGATACTCAGGCCTGTGATAGTATCATCATGTCATATCTGAGCTTATTGAAATGTTTCATCCCTTATTCTTTATATCACAATTTATTTTTTGTGTTCCTAAGTCGACTCATTTGTTTTCTACTAGTATTTGAAACATCATGTGGCCACCATAAGTCCTAACAAATTAACTTATAATGAGGAGGGAAAGGCCCATGTGCCCACCTTCCTGTGAAATTTTGGCATTGTCACGAAACTATCCCCATTGAGGAGACGTAGTTATGCTTAGGAAAGAAGAGGTTGAGAAAAACTTTTGGCCTGGTGTTTTATGACTTAAAAGTTTCAAATAGTTTTTATATGTAAGTTTCTATTAATACTGGTAAGAACATTACTATTATCTTTTTGATGTAACTTTTACTGCTTAGAGGTGCCAAGTATTTGGTAGCCCATCACATTAGGATTTGTGTAAATCAGTCTATCCAAATATAACATAAATTAGAAGCCCGTACTTGTATTTTCTGTTTAAAAGAAAAAAACCCAAAACTTAAATTTTATAATTGAACTAAGAGTACTTTATAATGAATTCATAAAATGAATATTAAATTTCTAGTAGAGCATGTTAAAGTTAACATTTTTGTTTTTTATTTTTAGTAACTTATTTTGTGGTTATTGTAATTATGGCCTGTTAAAAAAACTCCCTAACATATTTTGAACAGCTTCTAGAGAGTCATTTATGTTTATCTGCAATTACTCTTGTTTTTCTTTTTAGCTCATTTAAGAAAAACATAGTTAGCAGTCAGCGCAATGTTTAAGAGTACTGACTCTAGGGCCAGACGGATTGGGTTTGAAGCGCAGCTCTGCCTCTTACTAGCTGTGGGACCTTAGGCAAGTGACTTTCCTCTTTGTATGTCAGTTTCCTGAGGATACCAATGGTACCTATCCCATGGAGTTGTTACGAGGTCTAAGTGAGTTAATATATGTAAAGTGCTTAAAATAGCACATTGGCATTTAGCACACACACCAATATTTGAACAAGGCCCAAGTTACTGCTTTCAGTTTCATTGCTACCTCCTTCAACAGCCTTAACCAAATGCTTCTTTAGCTACATCTACCCTAAAGCGGAATTGGCAGTTCCTAGCGCACATGTGGGTCTGTGTTGTCTGCAGAGAGCATATTCCTCTCCTCCATACCCATTCAAATTTTACTTCAGTTGCCATTCTTCCAGTAGCCTCTACCAGGCTACCTGTATCTTACATGATGGATTTGTGTTCTAAACAGATCTGCTTTTACAGGGCCAAAGACTTTGTTTTACAGAAATCAGTGTACAAAATAACACATCAGTTCAAATGTATATATTCGAACATTCATCAAATTGGGGTTTTTTTCAAGCCAGGAAAACTGAATCGAGTCAAGGTGTTACTTAGGGAGGAATGAACCAGGGTTTTCAGTACTCCTCACATACATTCTGCACAATCAGTGATGTGAGTGAACCTTCCCTGAATTTTCTCTCCTCAGTTTTACCAGTTCCAAAAACTCTCGGTCACGGGCGCAGTCCTGGAAAGAAGGAAGCAGGGACACGTAGGATTAGCTGCCAACATCATGCCCTTCGTGGCTCTTAGTTCCCCGGCCCAGGATGGCTCACAGGTGTGGGACCTTTTCCAGTGAAGAGTGGGCTGCAATCGTTTACCCATGAGTGGCTCCCCACCTGGAAGCGTTTGCTTTCATAAGTGCCGGTAGCACTTACGCTGTGGATTCCTGTATGTTTCTGTGTGTTAGGATAGTTCTGTTACATCCTGGAGGTTCACACTGGCTCTAAGGTCCTACTGTATGTACTCTGGCCAACAGTCATTTATAGAATCAAAGCCTACCTTAAATGTTCAGACACACTCAGAGATTCATTAGACGCTTACTTTATTTGCCTGAATAATACTATCTGAGCTTGCTTTTCTGCCAGAGAGAGTGTTTTAAACCAGGATCCCTTGAGATTTGGAAACCAAATCTCTGTAGCTGTATAGTGCTTTTTTGGAATTGTCCAAATATTTGCCAATCAAATTTTAGCTTTATTTTAGTCTTGTTTTTTAAAAGCCATTTGCTATGAATAAAATTTACAAAGGAGAGGGGGCGCTTGAGTGGTTCAGTTGGTTGAGCGTCTGACTCTTGGTTTCCGCTAAGGTCATGATCTCAGGGTCATGAGATCAAGCCCTTGCATAAGGTCCACGCTCAGCATGGAGTCTGCTTGAGATTCTCTTCCTCTCCCTCTTTTTCTTTCTTTCTCAAATAAATAAAATCTTAAAAAGCCATTTTCTGGCAACTCCCACTGATGTGGTTACTGTTACATAGTTGTATGGTTTCTGGGTTTTGTTTGGTGTCAAAACAGAATGTATATGTATATCTTTATAAACAGTCTAGAACTAATAATAATTTGTCTTAAGCTCTTCAAAGATTGGGGAAAATTTGCAGCAAATTATAAGAAATGCATTTATATATATGATTTTGTATGTGTATGTATTTGCATAAGTAATTTAGGATTCTTAATCTACTGTTTATCAGCTCTTATAATATCTTCCTTGGACTTAAAAAATCTTTTATTCTCAAACTTAAAAGTGAAGAATTTTGATAAGCCATGATCTATGATTTCTGTGACTAAATTTTTTTGGGGAGTTACGTATGGGTAGGTTAATATGAATATGGAAAGCAGATTACAGATAAGTATCATTTGAGTCTTTGCATACTACAGTGTGATGTTTGACAATGACTCGGGAGGTTTTTTTTTTTCCCTCTTTGTTGCAGAATCCTATCAATTTCTGGTTAGATTTCAATAAAGAATATTGAACAGCAGGGGTGCCTGGCTGGCTTAGTTGGTAGAGCATGTGACCCTTGATCTTGGATCCTGAGTTCAAGCCCCACATTGGGTATAGAGCTTACTTAAAAAAAAATACTGAAGAACAAGACCATTTTTTTGCATTTTAAGATTCTGTTTCCATGGTAAAACTTGTACATTGCTTGAAAAAGATGAAATTTAGTTTTTATGAGACTAGCTGTAATAAAGATGAGTATTTGTGGCTTATTAGAGATGCGGGCACATCACATTTCCCATGTGAGCCTTGTGAAAAGTGATTTGACTGGCCAGGAGAGCCGCAGGCTCCCCAGGAGCAGGTGCTTCCTCATGGCCCTTCAGGGTCATGATCTCCAGGTTGGGTGGGAAAGGGGGTATCTGGGGTTTCTTCAGTTGGCTCAGTCTCTTGCCTGTTGTCCGCTTTTTGTTGGGCTCCCATCCTGCTGTTCATTGTGTGTACTGGGATTCATCATGTCTTCAACAAGTCTGGTGTTGCAGCACCATCTCCTGTTGCTTCTCCAGAGGCCATCACTGTGTTGCCTATTTGCCTTTTTACTCAAATCTAATCACTCTGCATATGTGTCCAAATCAGGTTCTACAAATCACAAACTAGATGACATTCTAATAGTTACTTACTTTATGAAAATATTTACCATAGTTGACTTTTTAAATTATTTTTAAGATTTTTTATTTTATTTATTTGACAGAGAGAGAGAGACAGCGAGAGAGGGAACACAAGCCAGGGGAGCGGGAGAGGGAGAAGCAGGCTTCCCACCAAGCAGGGAGCCCGATGCGGGGCTCGATCCCAGGACCTTGGGATCATGACCTGAGCCAAAGGCAAACGCCCAACGACTGAGCCACCCAGGCGCCCCCACAGTTCACTTTTAACTTAAAGGAGCTCTTTTGCTTATTAGCAACATCTTTCATTTAATTTTGGATCAGGATAGATTCCCTGTCAAGCTGTCATTAATATTGTGGATTTCTTTCCCCAAAAAAGGTTTTTTTTTAATTCTAAAAGTTATTAATCACAATTCAATAAAGAAAAGTCAAGATAACCTCTAAAATCGATAATAGTGAATGTATTTTCCCTTCTAGGTTTTTTTTTCCCCCCAGTTATAGTCTGGGGACATACTTCCGTGATTTTTCTTGATAAATCTTTGGATTGTACCTAGTTTTTGCTAAATAGTCATCATAATACCCCTTAGTTTTTGGAAGAAACAGAAAAAGGAATTTAATACAGTCAGATACAGATCTAGTGATCTCCGCACATTCCCAGGAATTAACAGAACAAGTCTGGTTGCTTTTCTAGACTGCATGTGAGTCTGATCTCAAAATTAGTGTTCGGGGTGAGGAACAAGCCTGGGCAGACATTGTGGGGAAGGTAGCTAGAGAAGTTACTGGTTTATTAATTGCCAGGAGAAGCACCTAAATCAGAGCTTGGAATTGCTTCTGTTTTGCTGGGTTGGTATATAGCTGCTGTGGACCAGGCTTGTACCACTTGTGAAGCTCTCTGCCTTTGCTTTTTCTTGTACAAACCTATCTTGAATACCTGCTATGAGCCAGCTCTTGTAGAGGTAGAGAAATTATAGACATGGCTACATACAAAGGAGTTAAAGTCAACTGCGGTAGGGGCTCTCCGGGCCGTATTCATACTTTGTAGTGGAAACATGGAAGGAGGGTGATGAACTCCAGTGGGCTGTGTCAGGGAACCCTCATGTGGAGAAGAAGCCAAAAGGGTGATCCAGACACCGGGAGCAGTATCATCAAAAGTGTAGAGATGTGAAGGGAGGGTTATGGTGTGTTGGGGAATACCAACTCTTCAGAGCAGAGGTCGGCAGACTACAGCTTGTAATGCCAGATGCAGCCTGCCACCTGCCTTTGGCCTGTGAGCTAAAAATGGCTTTTACATTTTTAACGGTTGAAAAAGAATCGATACTGTTTCATGACGCATGAAAATTATATGAAATTCACATTTCAGAATCCATAAATAAAGCTTTGATGGAACCCTCCCCCATTGGTTTACATATTGTCTAGCTGTTTTTGCACTGTAACTGTAGGATTCCATATCGTGACAGAGACCGTACGTGGCACTCTCCTCGCTTGGTATTGCTGTTCAGTGTACACATGGCAAGGACACCCTT